TGTGTGTGTGTGTGTGTGTGTGTGTGTGTGTGTGCGTGCGTGTGTGTCTGTGCGTGCATGTGTGTGTCTGGGTGTACACTCACCATAGTCTGAGTCGAGTGAGAAGACCCGTGTGTCCGCCGTGATCCCGACGTTCATGCGCTCGGAGAAGCCGAGGCTGAGGTCGAGACCCAAGTGGTCCATGCTGTCCTCTGCTTCCGCCTCCACCTCAAACTCGTGGCTGTCCCGATCCAACTTACGCGGGGATCCGAACACCGTACCATGCAGCACCGAGATGCTATCCCCGGCTGACAGAGACGTCAAGCCATTCGCAATGTCAAGGTCATGCATGTCCGTAAAGTCTGTGAGCACGATAGAGTCGAACAGAGGCATTCTGGGAGTAGATCCGAGTTCGTCGTTTCTCGCCGTGAAATGCAAACTAGTATTTACGATCACTCCCTATGTTAATGTCCGGATTCCTGCACAGCCCAGGTGAATCGATGAAGTTTCTCAATGTAAACTCCGCACCAGCCAAACGCACGTGTCATTATCACAACCTCGAGTGAAGTGACTTTATTACTCAATAATCCCGGAACGTTCGTCAGATGGAACCAAATGGCAGGTATGACTTACACCAGTCACAACTGTTACGTCAAGTATCAGTACTGTATGGTATCAGCATAAGCTCCACTTATGTGTTCATTCGACTTTATGCAATCTTGATAGATTGCTTCACAAAACACAGTTTTTCTCCAAACTTTGAAACGAAATTTGATTAAAATATAAATTTGATTAAAAAGGAAACGTGTTAATGGACGAAAATACCCCTAAAACTATAAAGACAGAAGCGGTCGGATATACAAAAGAATTGAACATCGAAGTACACACGCTGGTCTTTACGGAATGACGACTGAAACAAAAATATTTTTCAAGAATGTAGTCTCACAATTCACCAGGTAACTCAACCCGCCTCCACATTAGCATACGGCATTTGAATAAAGACAGTTCGTGCCATAACAAAAGGCGACAACTTTCCGCGCGGGAGGACTAGATGTGACTGCCGTTTTATTAATGCGTAATCACTTCATACGTAAATACCAACTGCAAGGCGATCAGCATGACAAAGCTTGGGAGAATCTGGCCCGCGTCCAAGCACAGACAGGAGACCGCTGAGTCTGTCGACTCTGCATCACAGGCCAGCACTGACTTGAGCACAGCTGGGCAGGGACGCAAAGTACTTAGAAGAGAGGAGACAAGTTCCATTTCCACCTCCTCGAAACCTTCCTATCGAGGGGGTCCCAGCGGGGTGCTTTACCTTCAAGGTTACATTTCTGGTATTGTCGGATATATTCTGTTGGATGAAGGGATTCGGTTCTTCTGTTTACGTTTTAAAAAATATTAACATCCTTATGAGGTCATGCGGGTGGGGTTGTTGTTTTTTTTAAGTATTGCAATAGTAGCCCAGACAAAGCAAACGTATCAAGCAGCCAGTCAGCATTGGGTACTCAAAAATTGAACTCAACAAATTGTACCATTTGCTCTGTTTTCTTCAAAAGCCCTAAGCTCAAATGCTCAAAGACCAATCAGCTTACTTTTAATTTTAGGTTTAGTACCGGTTTTACGGCGCTCGCAAATGCATACGGTCATATGTGCGCCAGAAGATTAGAGGTGTTACAACAGAGTAACAAACATAAAAAAGAAGAAGGGGAGATAAGAACGATAGATGTTTGATAGGAAAGAAGAAGCAAACCACACCAGAGCACCCGCCAACCACCCACTCAGCTTACTATAAATTCCAGCCATAGGAACATATCTGATTACTTAAACGGCCTGCATGTAACGAGAGAAAGAAGTAGGACAGGTTGTTGAATATTGCACACGACAGGGACCACTAACGACATAAAGCACCAGTATTGACTGGAAGAGAAGCCTTGCCCGCAACGTAACAACAGACCGGTAGCCGTTAAGTAGCGAGGAAATGACAAAATGATCACGAAGAACAACAGATAGATCTACATCGGTCAGGAAAGTTAACAAAAACAAATTAATCAAATCATACAACAAGACTGTCTCCAAAATTCGAACCCTCAGACAACAAAAAAAAGTTAACTAAGTGAACTTCAAGACAATTGTCCCCAAAACATGTCTTTAAACAATGCTTCCACGACGTGTCGATAGTAGGCCCAGATTGATACCAAAGAAGATATAAGCTCCCAAATCGACCCCCCCCCCCAACTTTCGCTAGTACTACTTCTAGACATGATTGTCTATTGCCGTGAAACACTCAAAATAAAATATCCACATTAGCGTTCCGGGAAGTATAACCGAGGCACATACGCACGAAATAGCGAGGTGAAACCGACGCAGGCGCGCTAAAACAGAAAACTCAGCGACACTCCTCTCATTATAAATATACCACATCAACTGGGTGCAAAAACGCCAGATTTAAATACCAAACCTACAGTACTTTACCCTTCAAAAATAAGTTCTGAGTAGAATTTAAAAAATTAGAGCACAGCCGTGTGATTTTGTACGAAAAACACACTTTAGGAACGCAAATAGAGAACCACGACCCCAATAATAATGGGAAGTACTTACTGCTGAAAAATTCACGTCGCCACACAAGAAAGAGTTGAACAGTAAGGAAAAAAACGACAAAATTTAATCACACACGTAAAAGAAAAACGTGTCATAAACTTCACACGGCATGGCCAAGTTGCACTTTCCTGCGGAAGTCATTCGTCGCGAATATGAGTCTTTTTAAAAACTTTAAAGTCCTGCTGTACACAAAACATTTTCTATTTCGAAAGAATAGCACACAGCCTCCCACTAGGACAAAAGGTCGAGATAGAAAACGTTCCCGAAAGGCAGATAATAAAACACGAGTGATAAGAAGTCCATGGCTGTGACTATTTTACATCCCCGTCGACAAAATTTAGGTCACTAAGGAGACTGGAAGGCTGAGAGGGATACCTTATAATGTTCTAGCAGAAACAGAGATATACTTGATAAAACAGATCTTCCCACGCGGGAATCGAACACACATCTTTTGCAGGCAACCTCGAAAAAGAAAATACAAACCATTATACCATAGAAGCTTCTCAAGACACGATTACCATCCCAATAGTAAGTAAAAGTAAACACTTACCACAGGACAAGAAATACTCACATACGATCTACAATGATGACAAAACTAGTTCTCAGGAAAAGCCAAGATAACCAGCATCTCTGCTCGACCACAATAACAAAGACACGCTGGTGTTACAGACAGTCACTAGATGTATGCCTCATACAGAATGGAATTGAAATTCGAGAATATGCTGATAGCATAGAATACACATCTTGAGAGAATTTTGGAGCCAAACAGACCAAGATAGGTAGCACTTTTTTCGGACTGTGGGGCAGTGGTAGTTCCCTCCGCCCTCTCCATACTTACTTGCGATGTTTAACAAGGTAGCAAGCTATTAAGATTTCCTTCATTCGGAACCTCGATTCTACGATTCTTTAACAGCACTCATGTTACTCCTGTCGTGTCATTCTTTACTATCAGTATCAGACCAAAAAAAATGAGCACATATATTATAATACAAATCAAGCGCACAGAAATCTGGGTCATGTGCAGCAAGCAAAGTCCCAAAACGAGAAAGCCACATACTGAAAGAGGACAGACTGGCCACACAGTTGCACAAAGACTGCGTCCTTGGAAATAGTCAAATCTTGAACAGGCTCTCAAATCCGAAATAGTCAAACTAGGTGGGATCTTGAACTTGAAGTGATACCAGATAGTGGAAATTCAATCAGAAGTTGCACGAGGTGATAAAGGCATTATACAAACACTGACCTATCAAACAGCCTAGGCAATTTCCTATCTCTAACATTGCATGAGGATCCAGGCTCTCCGACCTACACATATTATATTATGCAGTGCACATCTACTGATATAGAATTGGTATTACTTCTCGTAACTTCGCAATCAAGCTACTTCAAGCAAGACATGCTAGTATTGATTGCAAAATTAGAACTAGTCAGTCAACGTTACGCCACGCTGTCACATTTCATGGTGAGGGAGTTTATGTATTTTATATTTGTGCGTGCGTGGGTGTATGTGTGTGTGTGTATGTGTGTGTATGTGTGTGTATGTGTGTGTGTGTGTGTGTATGTGTGTGTGTGTGTGTGTGTGTGTGTGTGTGTGTGTGTGTGTGTGTGTGTGTGTGTGTGTGTGTGTAAGTAGGTGGTGATGTGCATGCGTGAGTGTGCGTGCGTGTGTGTGTGTGTGTGTGTGTGTGTGTAAGTGTGTGTGTGTGTGTGTGTGTGCGTGCGTGCGTGTGTGTGGGGGGGTATGTGTGTGTGTGTGTGTGTGTGTGTGCGCGTGCGTGCGTGTGTGCGCGTGCGTGCGTGTGTGTGTGCGTGTGTGTGTGTGTGTGTGTGTGTGTGTGTGTTCAGAAGGAACAGAAATGATCTACACATACGATGTTTTTTTTAACAGAAGAGGCAACCAGGAGGAGGTAACAGTGGAGGGGGGGGGGTGTTAAAGAGGAGAAAAAGGTGGAGAGGGATAGAAGATAAGCATAAGCAAACACAAAAGAGATAAGGGGGTCACAAACTCTGGGTCAAGTGGCGTAAGGAATAAGAAAAAACTTGTCAGATGTTATCACCAGTTTCTGCCGTACCACGTGGAACTTCACATAGGTCCTTGTCCGCAATCAAATACTGCCACCCGCTATCAGCCCGAAGTTCCCTATTATTCCGAGATTACCGCGATGTGTCATCCAGGCGTTGGGTGAACACCCATCAAAAAGAGGTGTTGTGATCGTAATTCTCTGATTTAGAAAGAGTTTTACGGTACATGTAACACAAATAGGCCATATAAGTGCCGAAGATTAGAAGGTGTAGCAAGAGAGTAACACACACAAAAAGGAGAAGAGATAAGGACGATACATGTTTGATAAGAAAGAAGGAGTAAATCACACCAGAGCACCCGCCAACCAGCCACATCGTAAGGCTTTGACATCAAGTCTTGTACACCCTTGCCGACAAATTAGGGAACAATTATAATAAGGTGGGCTGCTTCGACCCTGCCTGGCAAAGTCAACCCAGACTGAGTAGGAAGCACCACCAGAGCTGGCAGACGGAGACATTAATAAAGAATAAAGAATAAACAGCAATTGTATAGCGCATATTCTCACTCACCAGCAAGCTCTTAGCGCTTAACAATCTAATCTATTATTACCCAAGCAGACCCTGGACCGCTAAAAAACAATCTTGGCTGCTAGGGTAGAATACTTTGTACGATAACTACCCCACACGGGAATTATGAATACGCGCCTCCTTTTTGAAACAACGATGGGTCAAATCATTAAATTACAGGCGCTGGTTAAAACGCTTTAAATAGTAGTACGTTTCAGGAAACATTCCCTTTTTAACTACTACAAGATGGTACAAATACATCTCAAACATCGTCAGCAAGACTACTAAAATCACCCAGGGCACCTCGCAACAGAACTTCTTGCAATCCTTTCAAGCTCAAAATATAAGCTGTTCAGCATTTCCCCTTTACTGACAATACAATCCGACACCAAACTCCCTTTTTAAACTGACGAATGCGTCTCTTTCCATGCTGACTTATCTTCAACAACAACGGCAACAATAACAGCAGCAATGACAAGAACAAAATGAATAGTCACGCCCCATTGCGTGCTATAGTGAGTCAAGTCTCCGAATATCATCAAAAGAAGAGTCGTGGACAAGCTGGTAGTGAGTCTGAA